TGTGAGAACGCGGGAAGTTCCGTTAGTGCATGCGCCATGCTACGTCATTGCTCTATCACGTACGCACAGTCGCTTCGCGCAATATAAGGTTTGCTAGCTGTGGGACGAGTGGGAAACTTACTTTGTGGACGCGCCTCGTATGAACAGAACACTCACAACTCCAATGCATTATTTGACCTGGTAGTAAACAGAAACAAAGTTAAATTTCGTACACACTGGTTGGTCAGAAGGATTATAAACCATGCACACTTTTTTAAAAACTGACAGTAATACCCAAGCAACATTGAAGTTCACAATCCAGGCAGAGACAACACAGCTACGGCTCACCGTAGACCAACAACAGAAACCTCCGACTTACGCCAGTGGACATTAAGCTAAGTAACTCAATTCAGATAATACACCAACTCATGCGCAAATAAACGTTCAGTGTGGTATTACGTGAAGTATGGTTTTATAGAGTGCGACGCTTTTATGCTCAGTGCTTTACGACAAAGCATCATCTTATGAATTGTACGATTTAACAGACAGATCCATGAATTAATGTTTTTGCCACTGATAATGACCTCTTGAGGTCAAAACGCGTTTGGCAATAAGTGTTTTTTTTTCAAAGTGTAAACAGTTTTGTTTGTATGCATGATTTTATATATTTTAGATAAATATTCAACAAGGTTTTAACATTGGCAGTCCACTACACTAACAGTAGGAATGTGCTGTCAACACTTACAGTCCAGATCACTAAGACTAGGAATCTGTTTCTGAAGCTCATCGAGCGGTAGAGACAAAACTTTGAGGTTGCTAATATGAAGTGTCATTGCTTTGTGAAGAGTCTGATTGGACTCAGATGCCTTGGCATGTGCTTCCTGATATTTATTTCCTTCTCTTGTGAGGTCTGTCGCTACGATCGAAGGCGGACGCTTTCCCATCACTTCTTGGTACTCTTTCTCTCTCACTTCTTCGCGCTACAATGAAAGGTAATGATGCCGCGTGACTTTACATACATGAAATGCAGTAACTGAAACAGAGGACCTTGGCCTGCCCACAAGTATAAGCAGGAGCCCAACAGCTAAAATACAAAATAACTAAACCCTATTAATTAGTTTTATAAAAGCAGTTATGTTTATATTTCTGAAAATGGTACAGTGGTCTTAAATTATGAACAGATCAGAAGTTTAGAGAAATGGGGAGTCAGAAGAAATATTACACGGTGAACCTCTCCCTAAAGGCCCCAAGACTTTCAGCAACAAAACCACTATTTACGCACCAATGATGATTGAACAGTGTAGGTAGTTCTTGTGAAACTGCATCACACCACATAACGTGCTGAAAGTGGCTGCCCCTGACATCCACACTCAAATGGAAACAATGTTTGAAATTTTACTACAGACTGTACTACGTTAAATAGACCTCTGGATAATTAAGCCCACAGATTTAACCCCATCAGACATTTTTTGCTGTGGGGGCTTACTGAAGGGAAAAGACTACACAAACAAGTCTACCATTCTGTATAAGCCAATTATAGATACCTGGATTAATTCCTTAATGTCTTGCAGCATACCCTCAACATCATGATATGTGTCCGCCAGTTTGTTCATTGATTCTACCAGACTTTGAATGGTATTTGGTTTGGCACTAAGAGCTGCACATCTGTCCACCAATTCCTGCAAAGAAAGGAATTAATAATAATAATCCGTGGCGTAACAGCCCTCTGAGAGCCTAAGCCGACTAGCTGGCTGCTGGCTTCACGTTCACATGCCTAAGCAGAGGTGAACCATCATCCAATCAGATAGGGGGTGACGTGTGGTCAGCACGACGAACCCCCAGCCATTGCTAGTTTCCATGACTGGATTATGCTCCACAATTTCCTCACGATGCTGGGTTGGCACCGGTCCCATACACCGGTCAAAAATCTCATGAGAAATGTCTTCCCCGAGACTCGAACCAGCGTGCATACCGTATCATCGGTCCGAAGCATAATGCCTCGGACTGCGCGGCTACGACGCGGGACCAAAGAAAGGAATTAATCTTAACAAACACCATCTTTACTGATGAGTAGCTGTATTAACTACACATCTGTACCCACTACAAATGAGTGTTAAGACCAAACAAGGGACACAAAATCACAGAAATTGTGCAGTTTGAAAATCTGTTTGAGAGGAGGAAATGCAGATTCAGAAATTTTAAATAACATTTGAGTACAAACTAGCTACAAGAAATTATGGTGCGCTAGCATCTTTGATCACCGCACTCGTAAAATTCCAAACACTCCAGTTTAGTTTATGAAATTACCTGTGGCAACCTGTTCGACGATGAGTGAATATTCAGTTGATCAAGCTGAAGGGAGGTCATGAACGTTATCAGTTCCTGGTCCTTCTCATCTATCATACCACCGATTCTCCGCATCAGCTTCGCTTTCTCTTCACTGAAACATAATGGGATAACAAACCAATATGATCCTAATATCCGACTCGCCAACAGTCGACCACGGAAATGTGCAATATGAGCAGACATTTTAATTCCTCTCCTCATGACTGTGTTGGACACACCCAGATAGCTTCATTCCTGCCTCCTTGCACCACATGATCACTTTGCAGTAGTACATATTGAACCATGTTTTCTTCAGACACAACACAAGAGATCCACCTGGTAGATTTTGTTCACATTTTAAAATGTATTAGCAAAAGCGTTTATTAATTGAACATTGTAAAATGAGATGTTTATGTATAATTATACTATGAAAATAACCCACCTATAGAGGGAAGAAGCTTCATGTGATTTCATGGGAACTAGACGAGCAAAAATGTCTGGACCTGACACTTCAGGATCATTCTCATTGAATGGAATCCCTTTAACTAAAGATGCTCCTTTTATGCTCGGAAGTAAGTCTCTATCCGGCACAACTTCGTGGTAGATGAACTCATTTTCATTCTTTGCTGCTTTTTTCTTTCCTTCTACAACATCCATTGTGAATGTAAGTGATTCATTTATAGCCTGTCAAAAAGAAAGTAGCATAATGAGGAAACCAATACAGACAGAAGCCGTGAAGAGAGCCGCTGTCACGTGTCTCGTACTCTCACCAGTCCATTACACACTCTAGCCAAAGCCACATATATTACACGAACATCAAACGATATAAAATATTTGTGGTTTTCACAGCAGCAAGTATTAAGATTTCTGTCTTCTGGGTTGTTGCGCTGTGTAGCCTGGCCGATGTTAACCAACGTTTCGGAGGTCATACTGCCTCCGTCATCAGGGTGATGATGGAGGCAGTATGACCTCTGAAGGGTCAGATTTTATTGCCTTGTTTCTTATTTTTTTACATCATATTCCAATTATAACTAAAACTGATCTTCATTTACCTCAATGTTGTCCATTCCTTTCGAGAGCTTTGTTGCCTCTTCCAGTTTCTCTGACGCTGCTTGATAAAATGCCACCCTCTCCCCCATTTTCTGTTGCTCCTCTGCCTGCTGTCCTTGGTACAGGAGTGACACACATGAATGATACGCTATTTTGAACTTTACATACCTCTTCCATTTCTGTCAAGTATAATAAAGGGCATAATTAAAACTTCATTAGCTCAAATGCAGACATAAGGAGCCTTAAAACTAAGCCATGACAAACTGGGCGGTAAGGCATTATGTGTATAATTATGACTAGACGACCAGGGTTCAAGACTATGCAGCACCGACTTTCGGAAATGTACCTTCTAAAAAAACATACAGGGCAGCTCCGAGATCAACACTCTCATTTATTATTTGAAAACTTTGTCATAAATCCTTTAAGTAACTTAAATTTATAATTCAGGATATATGACATTCTTTACTTACCCAAACACATTGTGTGATCTAGGTTCTGATACTCTGAAAATGTAGTGCTGTAATATGGGCCCAAAATAAGGTTGGCGAATGCCATGCTATAAAAATTAACTGTACAATTCTTATTTCTTTGGTGTTACATAAGAATTTACCTTATAAATCTTGGAGCCTACTGTATCAGAGACTGAAGAATCATCACAGCCGCTCTGCTCTAATGTGTTGAGTGCCAGATTATAGTAATCTACAATCTGAACAGCAACTTTGGCTGTAAAAAAATTACAAGCATTAATAACGACACATAAAGAGCCAAAAGAATCGATGGAGGTTCTGAAGGTCTCTGGAAACAGACATTATGGAAAAAAATTTATATCGGTGTTGTTTGGTGTTCGGATTCGACACACATAACCTTACAACATTTCAAAGAATGGCACCGTCATGTTAGAACGTGCAACGAGGACTAGCTTCATCTGATGGACCCCACTCCAGACGAGATACTCACCAATGATGGTTGCCTTTCTGTTGTCTGTCATGCTCTTCTCTACGATACACTCCTGTGCCTGGGCCAAGCAAAGGTGATACATGAATTGAGTGACATCAGGAGCCAAATCAACTCCTGCAGGCTGCAGAAAAGTGTCCTTCAGATGCTACATGGAAAGAACAAACATTCTTTCTAAGAAACCTGTATATACTAAATAATGTACATTTAAAAGGGCACTTGTAAAAAAAAATGCTGACAAAAATATACAACATACGACATCATGTTTCAGAATAACACAGTTAATTTATTAGGATCAAATAGAATGGCAGTATTAAAGAGTTTACCGGGTTAAACACGAACTTTCAGCAAAGACACACAAATACCAAATTTTGTCAAAATTTTTCAGCAGTGTTTAAGATGAAACAGCTACAGACTTAACCTTCCCTACTTATGTTCATTTCATCCACTGATGAGCAATTTATTAGCCCATTTTCCCTCCTCAAGTAAAGAAAGTATCAATTGAATAAAAATTTACTTGGATATTATCCATCGTCTAGTAATAAAACGTAAAAAACGTAAAACGACGTTTCGGAGATGGGGCTCTATCTCCGTCTTCAGGTTCCTACTCAGTTGGGCCCACTAGATAGAGCTAATCCCTATCTCCGGACCCAGGGATAGGGATTAGCTCTATCTAGTGGGCCCAACTGAGTAGGAACCTGAAGACGGAGATAGAGCCCCATCTCCGAAAGTATGTTAAACTATCTGTCTAACGTCCCCTACTTTCGATTTTTTAACCAACTGACCAGTTTCCACAAAATCTGGTATGAACATCACGTCATTAGTGGTAACACCAACCTCATACGTTTTAATTTCCATCAGTAATAACATAGTGGAATCACAAACTTATGAGGTAGGAGAGACATCAGACTCTCTCTTCAAATAATGATTTCAAAACAGAATTTCAAAAAAAAAAAAAGTAACATTTAGTAAGTTAATTTCCTTGTAGAATGTAGAAAAGAATGTCAGCTGCATCAAATGTATACTTAGCTTTCAGTGCTGTGGATTATAAACTATCATTGCCTAAATGGTCGCCCTCCGTGGACTAGTGGTTAGCTTGCTCGCCACTGGGCCAAAGGTTCACAGGTTCGATCCCGGCCGAGGTCGATGGATTTTTAAGGGTGATAAAAATCTGTAGCACAACTTCCTTCGGAGGGGAAGTAAAGCTGGCAGTCCCATGTCTTAGATTTATGGCAAGTGAAGGAACCTTACGAGCATGATACAAGTTGTTTCGTAAGAAAAATTCAGCAGCCATTTCTCACCCAAGTCGCTCCTGATTCACTGCTAGATGGCTCTGGCAGTCAAATCAGGAGTGAGTAGAAATTGTGCAGAGTCAGTGGGCTGGTCACTCACTACTCATAAACGCACACTTCAAGACCAAGAAACCTTCGAGAGGAGGCGGCGATGACCCGCTACTGGGGTTAAGCTACTAATAGATAGAATTATGCCTCAGCATTTCACAGGACAAATAATAAACAGAGTGGGATACCTGAAATGCCCAAGCAGCACACTGGAAATGTGTACAAGACAGTTTCATGCCTTCTGCAGTCACCCTGCTGTCCGAAGCACCCAGCTGTGAATGTAGCGCTCCAATATTGTACAGGATAGACACCATTTCAAAACGTATGTCTGCCAGAGTGCATACCGTATTTGAGTAAATGTCACGCCTGTGAAATCATAATGGCTTACTTGTACTGTACAACTCTAGAAGCGACTAGTAACACATCACAGATAATATCACTCGATCTATAACTCCTCAAAGTAAACTAATATCAATTCAAAACTATTCAACATAAATAAAACCAAACTCAAATAAATGCAACCTAACACTGATATAAAAATGTGATCGTTACCAGTAACTCTGTTATCATCAGTGAATAATAATGCGACGTGCACATCTTGCCTGATACACAAGAACAAACGTGGGGGCAAGTATCAGAAACCATTCTGCAAGTCAGTCACTTGAAATACTACAGAACTAAGGATACCATGTGTGTACCTGTGGGACTACTGCCAGTCCATGGCTACAAATGTTTATAAGGTTAGATATATACATATCAACACACTTTGAAAAATTAATACTTTATGAACAGTGACTTTTTAATTTCTCAAAAAAACAGCGTAAGAGGGGTTTTTCCTATAGCCTCTGCATCCAGACTGGCTCTGGGGCCCACCCAGCCTCCTGTCCAATGGGTGCTGGGCTTCTTTTACTAACATATCAGGTGAATGTTTCGTGCATGGAAGTTTGAAAAATTAAAATTTGGCCAAAACTGGAGCTAACCCTTTTCTGTACTGGGCCCTCAATTAGCTAACTAACTAACTATTTGGCTTACCGAACCTGAAGGTTCATCACCGAACTGACCAAAGCCCTCCACCGGACCCTGTCCTGGGCCAACAAAATCCAGTCTCCTTCAACTCCTATCTCCCATAGATCCCGCCTGAGATTATCCTCCCATCTACGTCTAGGTCACTCCAGAGGTCTCTTACCCTCAGGCTTCCCAAATAGTGGACCCAACCAACCAGATGGCTTACGGAACCCGAAGGTTCATCAGTACAAATGTTTAAGCTCATCATTCTTCAATTAGCTACAAATTCATTATTTGGTCCACCTATATTCTCTTGGTCGGAATAAAAACAAAAATTACCAGGTAAAAGAAACTGCAGCAGCTTCACCCTTGGCCATTGGAAACCTGCTGTGCAGAAAATGAAGTTGACAATAGTAACGCTTCAAAGCCGAGCACCCTGTAACGTCACGAACTGCAGATACAGCCGCTACGCGTAAACCCTCAAGGCTGTGAATTTCATTGGAGTACATTTCTGGGTCTTCATGATAAACATCTCGAACATACTGGAATAAATAACATTCTGCATTAATTATAAAAACTACATTTCATTTAGAGTCGATTACTGTCAGTCAATCAGTCAATAATTTTACTTTTCACATCATAAAGATTGCTGCATCACCAGACTTACACAGGCTAAGCAATGTAGGTTGGCAAAAGTGCAGGCAGAAAACTAAAATTTGACTTGGAGTCTGTCTGTAAACAACTGGACAAAGCTGGAAATTGGGATGACAAAACTGGACAAAGAGAAAGAAGGGAGGTTGAAGAACAAACCATTTCAAAACCTAATGCTGCTGTAGGTCATGCGGAGAAGATGCTTCAACAATGAAGATGGAGACAGTATGTTTCCCTAAGGGTGGCCACACACACTACGGCTGAAGGCTTACGTCCCTGAAGGCAAACCTTCCGGTAAACCGGAGTGTGTGTGGTGAATTTGGCCGGAAGGTTTTGCCGAGCCTCCGATAAATCTGCGGTAGCTTGATTTCTTGCCTCGAGGTTTACTGAATGTTTATAAGTCGTAACGTGTGTGTGAACAGAGACGAGGGTAAAGTCAAGGCTTGTAGCATTTAGTCATCTCAACCAGCCACCGAGAACTTCAAATCCTCGCACTTTAACTAAGCTTAACAGTTCCAAATATGTGTCCTCATCCATTCGCAGGTAGCTATGCCAGTCCGTCGGCTCTAATCAAATTTCATTCAACAAATTTATGTGAGAATGTTTTGATCCATCTAACCAACTTCTGACCCACTTAGAACGTTTCAACTTTCTTTTCTTTTTCAACATTAAAGTAACAGCAAGACCGATTAAAATCATGTCGTCTTCACTGAACATGTTGTAGCATCGACCGAAGAATAAAAAGACTGAGCACAAACCTGCCACAAAGTCTGTACATGTGTGGACTCTCAGAGGTTTGAGGTTCACCTCCCGGCTTTACCTTGGAAGGCAGGCCTTCCGGCAAGCCGGAGCGTGTGTGGCCACCCTAACACATTATGAACGATACAATGAGAAAGATGGAGCTCAACATCTTTTAGGACGGACGAAAACCGCAAAATATCTGCCAACACAGCAACATTCTAGGCTACAAAATGAAAATGGAAAGAACATGTACCACAATCAAATCTTAAACAGGTGGATTAAACGTATGTGCTAAAGTTACCAATCAGAACTAAAATAAAAATTCACTAAAATGTTAGTGATTTCAGCAATTTTGGAATGATCATACTATCCAACATCCAGAGATATGATGATTAATGAATAAATAATGAATTCCACAGGCACAAGTCCTAGCCTATTTAAAGTAATATCCCAGCATTTGTTTGGAAGGAATAAGGATAACAACCAAAAACCTCACTCACAACAGCCGAGACCAGAACCTCGGACATCCTGTGCACGAAACAGATTTACTACCCTCTCACCCACGACGTTCATTTCATACCCTCAATGTGCCACCGTGGGTAAAATGGCACACAAAATGTAATTATGAAAGGTACTTAAAATTTTCTTCCCTGTTTTTCATAACCTCTCAACCCATTAACCTTCCTTACATGTAACAAGAAAACTATTTTTAAGCGAGTTAAGAGCAAACAATTTGTACAGCAGTAAATACTAAATTCTTTGTACCTGTTTCAGTTGAGGTCCAAATGATGCACATTCCGGGCTCACTTTCAAGTCAAAGCTAAGCATAGGCAATCTAGGCACCGCTTCCATTTTGTTTTTTTCTGTTACTTCAAACTTCACTTCAGAATAACCATATTTCAAAATATGATAATGAAATCAGTCTTGTGATGTACAACACACTAAAACACATTCTGTCATACTTCGTAATCAGTGTGTTTCTAGATTATCGATAGATGGCATCACAGACAGTACCAACATATCATATCGGAAGTCCTCCTTAACGTTTTGTGTTGCATTGTTGGTGATACGTATGCTGACGTTTTATTCAACTTGTGACGTGTTTGTAAGCTTTTTGGACGTGGAAGATAGTCTGTGGTGGGAGTAGGTTATTGGGTTGTAGGTTGGGAGTAAAGTGTATGGTTTATTTGAGAATAATCAGCTGTTGAGAGCGTGGTTTAAAGATTTTAATTACTGCAGCATTAGGCATTTCGTTTGAACACCAAACCTTGTGGTACAAGTTGTAGCAGATCATAAAATGGTAATAATATGTTCAGCATGTTTGCAGTTTCTGGAGAGGAATTCGTATCATACTACCAGCACACGTATGTGTTAATCTTTAGAAGTATAACTGTCTTGAATTTTTTAGCCCGCAGCTCCAAGTTCAACATCAGTGGGTGCTGGAAGCAGATCCCCTACTAAAGCTGTTGCTCCAAGAGCAGCCAGTGGTGGTACTGTTAGACAGAGGTGAGAAATAAAATGATTTTGTAAAATGTAAGAAGTAAGGAAGAGATGCAGATAACATTGCAAAGTACTGGGCCCAGCTGTCCACCAGAAATGCTAAATAGAAATTAATAAATTTGCCTTAGGAGATGGGCCAATTTAATCTTGACATTTTATACCAATTCTATTGTATATTGTCTTCTTGAGCAGTTCATAGTTATTCAGCTGAACAAGAAGTTCCCTGCTTCTGTCCAAGTCAGGCTTTTTGTGTTAATTTGTAAAACCATGTCCAAATCTGAGAGCTGGTAGACCATCCTTTGACTGTCCACAATTTGAAAATGATGAAGGACCGACTTAATGTACTTATTAAAGCCCCAGACAGTAACATGAAACTACAATTTCAATATCATGTTCTATTCCAAGCGAAGGTAATGTAGTTTGTACATGTATACTTCCATGTTTGTGAAAGATGAATTTGTGAGATAATTGTGAATGAGGTTATTGACAGTGATAGGTGAATATGTACACTTTTAATGAATTATGTATTTTGACTTAAATACGTCTATACGGAACTTTTAATGAATTATGTATTTTGACGTCTATACGGAAGGGCCATTCGTCAAAAAAGTGAAAACGTGTAAGATCCATATCAACAGTGTGTAAGAGATTCATATCAACAGTGTGTAAATATGGACCGACAACAATGGTCATGAAAATTGACTACAAGAAAGATTGCATACAAAGAGAATTTCAGATAATATATACAGGCATCTGAACAATGAATAAGGACTGTTAATTTATGGGAATATAAAAAAGGAATGTGTTTCAATCATTTATAATGTTTCTCCTGTTCTGTATATGCCATTTAGAAAGGAATGTTATATATTAAAATAAGTTCACTTTTAATTGAACTTCACAGGAAAGCTACACCATCATCATCAGCAGCAGCAGCCAGGAACCGAACTACCGGTGCAGGGAGTGGCGGCATGTGGAGGTTCTACACTGATGATTCTCCTGGCATCAAAGTGTAAGTATATCAACAGCCAAGATTCTGTGGGGAAAATAAACTTATATGCAAATGTCAGTGGCTAACGAACATTAGCGTGACTCTGTGTTGGCTAGATATGCTAGCCAAGCAATTACTGTTCCGCCACATGGAAAATGTTGAGAAGCAAGACTGATCTATCACGTTTGTTGTTTTTTTTTAGTGGTCCAGTGCCGGTCTTGGTGATGTCGTTGCTGTTCATTGCTTCAGTCTTCATGCTGCACATCTGGGGGAAATATACCCGCTCTTAACCATTCCTCCCCGTCAATAAATGTCTGGAAGAGTGTTGTGTTGAAGGCTGCTACATATTATACAAATCATTCCAGCCAGGACTTCATTCTTTTTTTCCATTGATTATTAAATGTTACATAATAAAATCTCTTCACTTTATGATTCTTATTTATATTGAAATGTGCGTATGTGAATAATTAAATGTTCTTGACAGTTTTGATTCCTTTATATTGGCCTCATGATCAGGCTTCTTATGTACACAAAGATTAAAGGGTAACACATAAATATACATTTAAGTACAAAAATATTTCTCCAAGTAGTTCAACACTACATTAATGTGCTTCTATAAGTGTTTTAAAAATATTGTAAAAATTATGCAGTTAATTACGCCAGTCTAGTAGATTATATGCTTCCCAACTTCTCATTATAACATTTTATAAATTATGTCTTATTCACTACTGTCATATACAAGTCTTCCATTTGAATGATGGTTATGTAGAGATACAGCAATACGGGGCATGAACTTGGTTCCTATTTAATTTTTTAAAGAATTGTATATAATATAGTACTAAGCAATCATTTTAAAGGTCTGATAAACTCTCTAATTTTTAAATTCCCTGTAACCTTCAAATTCGTATCATATAACATAATTATATTCGTCAACAATTTTGAACAGGCAAATAATTATTTTAAAACCTTATAAGAGGTGACAACTTGCAGGAACGGTACCTGGTACCCCAATTTATATTCTTTACATTCTGTAGACATATGCAAATGGAAAATAACGTTGCACATTTAAGAGTGATTAAAATTCTAAGTACATCGCATTAAAAATTCAATTATCCTGGAATCCAGAAGATGCCTTTTGTAGTTTATAAATTATCTGTTGCTCGGTATGAAGGGCTTAACCCTCAGACGTGGTTTTACGTGTACACACACAGGCATTTAAATTAAAGTTCTTGTGGTTTTACGTATACACACGCGAGCCTCAAAGCCTAATTTAAAACGCCCATAAGTATGGAATAAATAACGCCAGCGCGATGAGGTTTGTTCTCGCCTGTTGTGGAAATAAAGCTCTATGTGTATACATGTGGCAACAGGGTTACATTCCAATGACCTGCAAGGGAGAGTCTAAAAATAAACGCCTGACCTGGTAGTTTACAATGGCTTTCTCTTCGACAAGTCGGCCCTTGACGGAGCTTGAAGAAATACAAGTTTTAAATGAAGTTTTAGAAGATGATAGTATAAGTGAATATAGTTCGGACGATGATAGTGTATTTGACATTGATTATACACAGTTTGTGACACCGGGAACTGTCGTGTTTAGCGATAGTGATTGTGATAATGGTAGACGTGGTCGACAGGACTACATCGTACATGCAGGTGTGGTTTCCAACAAGTTTTTGTGGGAAAATATAGACTCATTTCCTGCTTCACGAGAAGCATTTTGTAATGTATGTGGTCCCCAGTTCGACACTGCTGAACTAGATGTCGTGAGTTCATTCGAAAATATTTTCGATATAGCACTTGTGCAGCACATTGCTGATCAAACCAACAGATATGCTCATAATCGACTTGCTTTCACTGCTCACACATCTCATCTTATAAGGTAAGATTATAAAACCATCTTTTAAGAGGATTTCAGTGAAAAATTCATAATTATATCTCATATAGTTCAAAAGTTATGAAAAAAAGAGTATTTTACAGCAAAATTTAAACGGGCATTTAAAAAATACTACCGCAGGAACAGCACGACAGCAGTATATGCGGGGTATTTAAACTACCACGTCGACGGGTTAAGTCAAAAACATAATTTGTACTGACATTGGTGGGCCCTTACCAAGGACCATAGAGATAGTATTTCAGATTCTAAAAATCTGGCAATGTTACGTTTCATATTTCTTTAAAATATATTCCATGATGCACATAACTGGGTCAATTCCCTACCCCACTAGTCCCAACAGCTGTTTATGAATGTGCTCAGTCCACAGTTCAATGCCTTTCTTGCGAAGTTAGATTTTAGTTTTTGTACGGAACATGAGAGTTGATCACCATGTTCAAAGAACCTGCTATTACATCCCATCCTAAGCCAGTTCAATCCTGTCCTACACCTTATTTCTCCAAAGACTCTTTAATTTTATTGAAATAGGTTAGACCACAGCCTAATCTCTGACAGCAATATTACACTTGTCTAATATCTGTAGATGACGATGGATGAAGGAATCTTTTTTTGACGTAAATACGTCTATACGGAAGGGTCATTCGGCAAAAAAGTGAAATAAAAATGTGTAAATATGGACCGACAACAATGGTCAGCTTGCTTACCTAAGAAACGTCATCTGTTTACTCTGCACTGTTGTGTTACATTACTGCCGTCAACAATCCGCTTTCGTTATTGCGGAAAGAGCTGAGCTGTGAATCGCTTGTAGAAGAAGTGCGTTGTCGATTAGATAATTTTGTGCTGGTAAAAACGTTTTAGAATATCACAAGTACTTATCTTATATAAGAATTATTACATTTCATTACATTACAGAGACGTATTTACGTCAGATTCTCCGGAACCGTGGTTCCACTGCCAACTTTTTTGCCTTGATTTGTAACCTCGAGGAGGGAGAAATACTGGTAGGCCAAAAAATAGACACCATATTCCACAAATATACTGAAAAGACAGTGGACAGTAAGTCACCATTAAAAAAAAATACTGCACGTGGGAAACAGTTCACAATGTTTGCATCTTAACCACGTAGCTGATTCAAACCCACATTCCTGCATATGAGCTTTCTGTTTTCCATAGCGTAACAGAATTTGGGGGAATGCATACTTCTACACTCATTTCTGTCACTCTTAATTGTGCAACAGGTACAAAAACAAAATAAAACTATCCTCTAGAGCAGGTGTGGGCAAACTTCAGTGAATGAACAGCATGAAACAACTACATTTTTTCACAGATCCCTCGGATACATCAGTACTGCATCTGGTGAAGAGCTAACTACTTTCTTGGTACTTCAATAAACTGTACAACATACAGTAACAGCGTATAACTTCAGGTGAGAGCCACGTTGAATGTCTGGTGTTGACCAACATTTCAGCAAACAACGCAGTTGCCATTTTTAAGGTGCGCCGTCAAAATGGCACGCCTACCATCATCTCTGAACCTCGTGGTTAATGAACAGCCACCACGCCCTTCCACATAATCGCTGCAGATCCTTTCCCATCTGATGTGGTCATCGGAATCACCTTGTCACCTTGAAAATGGTAACTGTAGTGTTTGCTGAAACGCTAGTTAACAAAAACATTCGATGCAGATTTCACACAAAAGCTGAAGTTATACGCTGAACTCCAGCTGTGAAACCTACGGACAAGAATATGGCGAGTGTTCCTTTCACACAGTATCCAGTTTCTAAGTTACTTGTCTTGATATGATAATGGAAATATAAATTATTTTAGTAAGATCTGGGGTTGGTGATTGTGGTCTGTTGGGCTGCGATGCCAAGGAGACTTGTAGGTGGTGGTTACAAATGTTTCTGAAGAACGCAAGTGATATCTTTGGCACCATGAGAAATTCAAATCTGAAACCCGGGGTCTTCCTTAATAAGCTCAAGAGAATGCCGACAATTTTGAAATGCTGTTACGAAAATTTCATCCGATCACGGGAAGAATAAAATGTTCTGGGTAAAGACGTATGATGCATATGACCACAGATTGCCCACAACTTCTCTTAATAAAACTTATTTTAAATTTCCTTGTGAATACAAATTGAAATCTGCATCTTACACATCTCAATTTGGATATCTTGAGTGACTTCCTTGGTGCATGATGAGAAGCCCATATGTATATGGAACTGTGCTGCATTAGCAAGAAAGGCAACGATACGGGCATACTCGATAAGTGAGATTCTAGTTTGATACTGATGACTCCACAGCGTCATTGATGGCTAGGTCCGACTGATCAGCTTCAGTCTGTATTGTGATCATCATTTTTTCTTCATTTGAAGAACTTCCATCTGACGACACAGACTGCGTTGATGTGGCTGCTTCCTGTAAAAATGATAACAATTTCCCAATAAATCATCCTTTCTTTTAAAAAAAGCATGTTTTTTAACACTCACACCTAAAATAATATAAGTGCCTTCCCGTTCAGCTCTGATTTATTTTATATTAAAAGGTGATGAGTAATTCAATATATTGCGAACAGAACCACAACATCTCATAAGAAAATCTATGGCCTTCTCATTGTTTCCGAGTACCTAGAAATACCAGCCACTGTATGGTAGTCACGCAGGAATAAAATACATTCTACAGAATGTATTGAGTGAGAATCCATCTGCATTTTAAACATTTGCTCATAATTTTTTTTTTTTTTTTTTGTGATTTCACTACCGCTGCTGAAAAACTTAACACACCTCCCAGTGGCGTACAATATTCTGAGATGGTAGCTGAAACTGATTTCCATAACACCAGCATGGATTCTAATGTTGGAAGCCTGCAAATCATGAACTTCTACTTCAAGTTCCTTGAGATAAAAATGCAGTCATACACAGCAAACTTGAGGAACAAGATAGCCATTGATCCACGCTGTTTCATCTCTGTGATGAACACAGCTTTCGCTTAATTTTGTGTGGTATATGTCGTCCTGCTACACAGACACCCAAACCTCATTCACAAATGCACATTTTCATACATGTGCGTGCACATACACAAATTAGAGCATCCACTACATAGGCGTGAATCAGAGTAGCTCAGTCAGTGTTTGGCTATGGGCTGGATAACCAGAGAGGGCAGACGCAAAGGATTTTTCTACTAGCCTTTCACCCAGATTGGGGCCCACCCAGCCTCCTATCCAATAAATGGGTACCAGGTGTCCTTTTCCTGGGGGAAAAAAGTGTGGATGACCATTCACCCCATCTAGCACCAAGATCAAAAATGAGTATGAGATATACCTCTTCTCCCTACAAGCACCTCCGCGGTGTGGAGTGGACACCTTACAAATTATCTGTACATGCATATACACACAAATCAAGGCACCCACTATGTACACTTTACAAAATCAATTAACAAAATAACTTTGAAATAAAATATAATTAGGGACATATAATCACCTTACTTTGGTAATTATTAGCTTACATTCTCTGTTATATAAGAAAGGTACGCTCTTGGTATAATCATCATATTCCTATGTTGGTGTATGTGTCTGCTGCCTAACAACTTTTGACCCAGCTGACAAATTGTCATGAAACTTGGTACAAGCAGCATATCATTAGAGACTACCATGTCATTGTAATATATATCAACGTGACAGCCAAAAGTACATGTGAGATGAGAGTGGAAAAAAATACTAAATTCTAATTAAGGCTCCTTTTCTTTTACAGTGGAAAAAACAATATGGCGCTTGCACAAAATCCATATTTAGGCTTTGGTGTGATGACAAACCACTGCAGCTTGGCAAGCAAAATCTTTTATAGAGGTATATCGTAAGCATACCTACAGATTCTGAACGATACACTC